CATGTCAAATAACGACGCTGTTATAGAATCTACCGACTGTTGTCAGGTTCCCATACAATCAACAAATAAATTCACGCCTGGATTCTTCAAAAAATGAGCAAAGAGAAAAGTTCGAATTAACTTCCAAAAATAACTCCCTCGTGGAGGGCAAGGTCGGATTTACGGTGTTCATTGTATTTGTCCATGCGCGAAATTTGTTCCGGGGAAAAATCGAAACAATTTCAAATCTAGTTTTGAGCTCAGAGTTCTATTGATAAACTTAAATCACTCTATAGACATATCATACGCAATTGTATTGATACTGTATTGTAGAATAAAATTGAAGTGTTTGTTAAAATTTCGAAGTACTACTTTGTTTGCCAATCAGCAAGCGACAATATACGCTGTTCAAACTATTGAACGAAATTGTGTGGACTGTCGATAAGGCGGGCATTCTTAATTTTAAATATAAATTAAAAGTTAGAAAAGAACATAAGAGGCAGAGAAAACGTAAATATAAGTATTAAACTGTTTTTGTATGGTATTTATGATCTATTTGAATGGCACAGCTTTGCAAGCAAACAAATCATAATGCGCTAGCGCGCATTATGTTGTTTGCTTGCAAAGCTGTGTCATTCAAATAGATCTTAAATACCATACAAAAACAATTCAATGCTTAAGTGAAGCAAACAATCTTTAAGGGTAAAGCAATTAAAAATCACTCTGTTTGGTGTTCATAATTATGATTCAAAACCATAAGAAATACCAGTTGAAACATCAGATGCTTTCCTTTTTTGAATTGTTTCTCATTATTTCATTAAAAAAATACAGTAAAATTTAGTTCTCATCGGTGATGCTAAGGGCCAACCAACTGGAAATCAACTTCTGTTGCTGCGAAAGCTTCAAACAACCGTAGCATTTTCCAGCGAATTTTCCAACGCAAACGGCACTATTTAATACACAATGTTACAAACAACATTTACTCATGCCATAACGCCACTTTCTTGAGTTGGAATAATTGCTTTGCACGTTCTAACACACAATTCGAGCAATTACACCTTGAATCGTATTTTCTTCCCAATTGAAATTTTGTCCGGCAATGCATTTGCTCATTTTTCAATAGATTTGTTTGAAACTTTTCATGTTGTGGCTGTACCGGTTGTAGTTGCGCCCCATGAACTAATTTGGCGTTTTGATTTTTTTTTTATAGAACTATGCCCCTTTTCATAAAAACTTTGATAAATGTTTGTTGGCTATGCATTTGCGCATTTTCCAAAATATTTCTTATCATTGTTTTGTGTAGTGAGAGTACCATATAAAGTTGTGCCTTCTTAAACAATTTTGCATTCCTGACCTTTAAAGAGAGTTATGCCCCTTTACATAAAAACTTTACGCCCAAATGCGCCTTACAATCTTGCCTATTCGCTCTATGTTTTTTTTTTATTTCTGCCGATTATGGAAATTTATAATATCTTGATTGCAGTCTTCTTAGTGATTATGAATAAGTCTGGAAACTGAAGCGTACATGTTACTGTAATCACACTTCCTCTTTTTTATCAAGAAAATGGCGGGAAAATGTCCTCCTGACGGAAGAGAAAATAATGACAGATCAGGTAGCCAACTTCAAAAAATTTAGAAGCAATGGGATCAAAAATTTAAACCAGAATACAGAGAATGATATTCCCATTGTCATTATACAATGTACGTATATGCGTGGTATACCTGTCACCCCCTCGATGACTACTCTGATTTTACACTGTTGTCATCTCAGGAATGATTAATGAGAGCTAAAGTCATGAAAAAAGAAGAAGACGTTTCCAAATCATCGTTGCAGGATTTGACAAAAGTACATGTACGGGTACACCTAACCTAACTTTTGTTTTTGTAAAATTATTGGTAAAAGAGAGGGCCTATCTACCAGGGTCACTTTCAAAAGGAAGCTGGTATATCTAATTCATATCTATATTTACAAAATTATTGAAATAAGAGAGGGCCTATCTACCAGGGTCACTTTCAAAAGGAAGCTTGTATATCTAATTCATATCTATATTTACAACATTGTTGGTATAAGAGAGGGCCTATCCACCAGGGTCACTTTCAAAAGGAAGCTGGTATATCTAATTCATATCTATATTTACAAAATTATTGGTATAAGAGAGGGCCTATCTACCAGGGTCGCTTTCAAAAGGAAGCTGGTATATAAAATTAATATCTATATTTATAAAATTATTGGTACAAGAGAGGGCCTATCCATCATGGTCGCTTTCAAAAGGAAGCAGGTATATCTAATTCATTTCTTTATTTTTTTAAAATTATTTGTATAAGAGAGGGCCTATCTACCAGGGTCGCATTCAAAAGGAAGCTGGTATATCTAATTCATATCTATATTTATAAAAACATTTTCACATATTTAATTTGAAACCGAATAAAACACCTCACAGGCTGGTTGAAAGATCAATTAATGAAGGCCATTGATTAGTATATTAAAGTGTAAATACAAATTGTGTTGATGTGAAAGGCGACAGGATGTCTACAATCTTTATATAAACTACAGTAAGTATGTAACTTAGTCAAGGAAATTCCTACGTAACTGATTTCAAAACGTTAATGGCTGGTTATCCAATAACAACAGTCAAATGACAAGGGAAGTTATAACCGACTTTTCCTTTCCTTTTTTTCTTCTATTTCTGAACTTCCTATTAGATAAACAACAGTAATAAGACACACAGATTTATATTTGAAACCTTTTACAACTTACTAAGATAAAAAGAGACTATATCGTCAATGAGATGTCGGTGCGATGTTACATTCACTCGCTAACAAAGGACACGCAAGGTGGCAGCACATTAACTTAATGGGAATCGGAAGTTAATCAAACACGGCTTTACTAGTACAATGTTAGCGACACGGTCATGGAGGGTTGGCAGTAATGTGTCTGTAATTGGCATTCAATTCAAAGCAAGTAATTTGAATCAAGTTTGTTAATGCGGTAAAGTATCAAAAGCTCTTAGACAAAATGATTACGAGCACACAATACTCGCTACCACGCCATATGAAAAATTCGTTGTGCACGTCAAAGTGGCATAAAAAGGTGATGTGAAAATGTTAGAAGATTTACAATTCACGTTGCTGCACCACCACATTTGTTCTGCCCTGCATTACAAACGAAATGTATGTTGAACGAGACGAGCTAATTTTAACATGAAGAATCCTCAAAAGAGTGACTTTTTACTCAAAATGGGAAATAATTCATCATGTCGTTAATCACATAGCCAGCAATTTTAAACGGATAGGCTGACCAAACAATATAAACAAGACACGAGTTCAAAGACGTATAACTGAAGTTAATGACGTTACAAAATCTGTATACTTTTTCAATTAAGATTTTATAATCGAACCACTACGTTACATGTATCTCGAATGAAAAGTCATGTTATATTTGCTTCCTACGATAGAAGTATGAAATATTAACATCATAACGCACGGAATTTGATGTAGAAAAGTCCTATGACAATTAGTTACCGATTTTTGTTCAGTGAAAATATATCCTTTTCAATGGTCTCGATGTTAATATATTCTTTGATCATATGTTGTCTTAGCTGTATAGATTTAGAGTTGAATTATAGTTTTGTTAACACTTGGTTATTCTAATGTCGTTTGTTGTCCTTTACATCACCTGATATACGTGTAATATTGTTACCCAATGCTGCAGTGTACCTATAAGTGACGGGTCGTCGAGGATACCTTTTATTTATTTAGTACCTTTCTTTTCAATTTGAAATAAAATCCTTGGAACATCTGTTTTTTGTGTAATAAATGCCAGTTATAAATTTAAACAACTTATAGGTAACTCTTTACCTGACAAACATATATCTTTCTCCAACATTTATATAAACCTCCTAGGTGTTGGTATGGCAATGTCTAGATAACTACGGGATATGCTGTCTAAAGGACAGTCCAATAAACGCAGTTCTCCTGTTACCTTTCTATCTAACCTGTAATAAATGCCAGTTATAAATTTAAACAACTTATAGGTAACTCTTTACCTGACAAACATATATCTTTCTCCAACATTTATATAAACCTTCTAGGTGTTGGTATGGCAATGTCTAGATAACTACGGGATATGCTGTCTAAAGGACAGTCCAATAAACGCAGTTCTCCTGCTACCTTTCTATCTAAACTACAACCCTAACTGAATACTATTAGCGTTTTGTGGATACATATTTCCACCATAATACGTGTAATCCAGACTTAGTTTTCCTTGTTAGAGGGTAACTGTATTATAAGGTTTTTTAATTGAATTGAGGGCACACAGAGGTCATGCTATCTGATTTACCTGGATACGGTATTTGAATCACATTAATTAAGGTAGTTGGCCTCATTTAACCAGCTACTAAAGTATTAAAGGTATCAACAATTACTTTTCAGAACCAGATTAATGAAGCTACATTTGAAATAGGAACCAAATTAAGAATATAAATAATAAGAAATACAGTTTTTTCAAACTTAACCGTAATGTTAAATATAGGTATACACGTAAGAACGTAAAATGTTTGCCGTAAAGTTGCCAATTTATGAAAGCATTAACACGTATATATCATATACCAAGGTTGACGGTGTATTTAACTTGTATTGAAAACATGTCTAATTGTGAAGGTGACTTCATTAGAACACAGACAGGGGCGAAGTATATAGGTTTCAGCAGTATCATTCAAATGCTCACATTGCTCACAGAATTAAACGATATTGAAAATTCTCTGGAAAAAACTCTCATATAATGCTAATTCGAACTTCAATATTTGAACAGTAATACTTCGGTGATGCCTCGATATACGCACGATATCATTAATGGTGCCCCCTCCCCTCATCCCCATAACAAAACAAAAGAAAACAAAAGAACAAAACAAAAACAAAAATAAACTTACACTAAGAAGCATATTTTTTTCAATTATTGTTCTATAAAAGTGATGATTTATATTCATTCCTGTTCATAAAGGCGATATGATATGAGGACTTACCTTTTGTCAGTGTATATCGCCATATCCCCGTAGAGAGGTATACTAGAAACCATGGCAACGAGCGGAAGAAGGACATACAGCAACACCCAGGTCTGTAGTCTCATCTCAGTGGAATCTTGTGGCCAGAAAAAAAGATGACAGAAGTCGAAGGTTAAATACAAATATTCATGAGAGTTGTTTTTATCTATATCTAAAGACGCAATTTCAAAGTTAAAGAAGTGGAACATGTATAATGTTTCTCGCTTGAAATTTCAAAACAACGTTGAAAAAAGACATGTATCCGAGAAAAGTCTAATACTCCCTTTATGCTAAGGTTAAACAATGTGACTAAAATCACTATTTTCCAGTAACTGTCTAATCAGGGATAAGTATTTACTGTAAAACATGACAATAAAAGACAGTCCACGGATGTGATATTACCGTTCAGACACCCGATTTGATTATATAACCATGTCTTGCTTCGTCACTATCTATGTAATGTCAATTATCTATGTGCCTATACGAAATGTATTCGATAAGACGTTCGTTTTCTGATGACCGAAATTCTCATTTTAACTGATTGTGGAAAATCCATTTAGTGTTATATGATTGATATTCCTAAAAGCACACGGAACCTCGATTTGAATAAATGTTCAAGACTTTAATATAACGGATCTCAAAGTTGTTTCAGTTACACAAATAATACAAGATTAATGACACCGAAAACGAAAACGTTGATTGGTTTCGCAAAGACGCAGGAAAATGATAACCTTTAACTCGTGTCTTTAATCTCTCATTAAATAAAAAAGCGTCAAAATCACCATTTTTAATTAGAGACCATGCTATATAATATGGTAAAGGTAAACTCTAATTGCGAAGGGGTACCGATGATGATCATTGTCACACCTCACTGAACATCGATCTTAATTTTTAGTGCATATATGCCTCCAATGAAAAAGGTTGCATATCGTTTGCCGAGTACTGCTACTGATAGGGTCACAAGACTACTGCAAAATTCTTATGTTAATAACCAATATGTTTTAGCGAGTTTCGAGTTGCAGATTCCAGAAACAGATTAATCAATAACCACCATAAACACAATAACACCTGTCATTTGATGGTTCACATAGAGTCATTACATTGACAATCATTGTTGCAATGTTAATCAGGATAAATGTCACTCTGGTTAATGATAAAAAATCACATATAACGTTTTTACCAAGCTATGTTTTGTTCTAATAAAGAAGCTGTAGATGCTTGTATCTAAAATTAAAACACAATAAATATTGTAGAGCTTAATTTTTATCAACTAAATTTTCACCTTTCCGCCCAATATCTGTTATATCTGAAAGCTTTATACCAGCTTCTTAATAACAAAGATAATCTGACATTTTTAAAAATATTCTTTTTATTCCCTATTAATATCCAGCAGCGTGAACAGACTAACTAGGAGTAACTGACAGCTTACAATTTGGCGTTTTACAAACTATACTATCTAAAAGTAACTGACAGCTTAAAAAAAAAAGTCTTAGTAATATTGTACATGTTTATCCCACATTTTTTCTAACTGTGAATACCTGCCATCTTAAAACCACAATTTTAAAAACGTTATACTAACATTCTAGTGCCTGATATGTTTAAATCCACGTTTTGTAGAACATTTAGTTCCTGCCAGCATGAATCGAAGTTTTTACTACACAGGTTACTATTGTTATAACAACTTTAAAAGCACTTTGAAACTATTGGTATTTTTGAAAGATATACTGTATTTTCTGCTTTTATTATATTTCAAGATTAATAAAATTCACTGATTTTGCTTTTAAATGTATTGAATGCGCATACATAGAAACTATGAGCAACCTACGAATTGACACCTTAAACTGACTTTGAATGAGGATATGAAATCGTATTTCTTCGATATTTCTGCACCGTACACATGAGCCACAAACCGGTTATCAGTTTTGAAGCAAAGGACATCATCAAAGTTTACTGATCAATCAATTTTTTTAATGTTCTCACTTAAACAATATGTTTCCGTTTTTCATATCTTAACACAGCATTTATGAAAAGTCACAACATACATTTACATGTGTGATATAGATTTAAATAGTGATCTATTCTAATCTGTATAACATAATTTTGTAAATTAATGTCACTTTTGTATATATTTGCTATGTTGATTCAAATTGATAACTCTTACCTTCTGTTGTAGCGACTGATGAGTTTCCCCGGCTACTGACACAGTAAAAGTTTCCGTTTCGGTGACAATGTGTACTTTGCCTCACTGATCGCACGATATCACTCTGCAGTCGCTGTATCTATTGGCGGGAGCTGTCTGATGTCTTAGCCTTAGCAGCGTAATTCTATTGGAAGTCCGCTTTCAGTAAGAATTTATATTGGTTTGAAGAGAGGCCGTCCTGCTTTTGTTCCGATACGTTCAACAATTAAAGTGAACTGTAAATTATTCATGTGACTAATGTATCACCGAAGGCGTATGTTTGTGTCAGCTCTGACAGGGGACAGTTCCATAGCTTTTAAGACAAGCAGCTCAGCTCATTAATATTGTATGGGATTTTAAAAATACGTTATTTCGGATAATCTCCAAAACTTTTCGAAAGTTCCTATAGGAATATAAAGGGGGCAGATGTATTGATAGGCCGTCGCCATGAATTTGAATCCGAGGTTTGTTAAATTTAGGCTGGCGAGACGAGAGTCTCGTTATCTGAGGTCTGGATGTACCTTGGTTTGGAATGTCTCGAAAACTAAATGTTTATTAACTGCAAAAACAACTACAAAAACAGCCAGACAATTAAAAAACTCTTATGTATTGCAGTTTCTACAAAGAGAAAAGCAAAAAGGAAACCCAAAAAACCACACACGCACACAATCAACATTAATTCATTTTTATTTTTTGTACACTTCTAATATCCAAAAACGAGCTGTATAAGTACAGAATGAGATGCACGCATATCGACATACAAATCAATTTCAATCCTACATGTAAATAGCGGGGTTTTAATTATTATTTTTCTTAACATTTGTAGAACAGGAAATTAAATCAAACCATTACTTATGTATGTGTATTGAAGAGGTTGCATAATACTGCTAGGGATATTTGATTTGAAGTGTGATCATTATTCAATATACCCCTATGGGATACAGGATATTACATGTCGCGGAATCAAATCGGTTTCATTACACCAGACACGTTAATACATATCATCCTTACTATAGGGTTATAGGGCAGCAGGCCATGCCATTCAACTAACAGACGACAAGGCAGCACAATTCATTGACTTTCATGAGGACTCGTTTTCATGAAATCAATTACTTTAGCAATAACAGACGTTTGAAATATATTCAAATTAACATCCTTCAATCCTGTCATTATTAAAACAAGCATTTGTTTAATTGAACTTCGTTTGTTTTTTGGTGGTTAAAGTACCAGTACCAAAGCCCTAAGAAGACAGCATTACTTGATGGTGTCATCCCTTGGCTACCTTCAATGCTCTCTCACTCAAATATCATGACATGGTATCCTGACACACTACGTTGGCCGTATACACTATACCATTACCGTGCTCGAACACAGATTATGTGCCAAAGCAAAAGTGACTGTTTTGGTGATAAATGAATGAAACATTCACATTTTGTCAGTGATTTATAACTAATGTTTAAGCGACGTAAAACCGAATGGTGAGCATGTACCACGATTTATGCGAGTTACAAGAAAGTTGGTTTGAAGTTCATATTTGAGCACGAGAACAGTTTGATGAATAGGGCCTGGTCACACTATCCTTAACACAGGTAACTAAATGTATATCCAAATAAATAAGCATGCAGAAAGGAAGACTTTGTTTGTTTGTTTGATTTTGTTTAACGTCCTATTAACAGCCAAGGTCATTTAAGGACGGCCTCCCCTGTGTGCAAGATGCATGCGTGTAGTGTATGTGTGTGTATTTTGGGAGGCTGCGATATGTTCGTGTTTGTCTTCTTGTAATAGCGCGGAACTGATGCCGACTTTATAGTGCTACCTCACTGAAACATACTGCCGAAGCCACCCAGCAGGACGCCCCACCTGGTCACATTATACTGACAACGGGCGAATCAGTCGTCCCACTCCTAATTTGCCGAGCGTTTAGCAGGAGTAGAAACTGCCATTTTTAAAGACTTTGGTATGTCTCAGCCAGGGGACAGAACCCAAAGCCTTCCTCACAGGGGCGAACGCTCAACAAATGGCCAAAAGTGAGGCATTGTCAAGGGAGACATTAGGAAAAAGAAAGTTATTTAGAAAGGAGATAAGAGATAAGGTCCCAAATTTAGTCGCCTCTTACGATCATGCAATTGGGGGCAGCAGGTACAATTCTTACGCCCTACCTGCAGGGCAGAGAAAGGAAGACATTAGAAAGGAAGACATTAGCACTTCAGTTAAACTGGGAATTGCAACATATTTCAAAAACCAATACAACTCTTTGATCCGGTCAACGGTATCATTGTCGAACCAGTTGGTGATAATAAAGAGAATTATGTATAAGGTAAAGAGATTGACAAGGGATTGATCGTCATTGAACAAACAAAACATTGAAATCATTGATAGCCAGGTCCTTTAAGCTTTAAGCTAAGAAAGATGTGTCCATCTACTCCATCTACTGGCGTGTATTGTAATGGTTGGGTACTCTTCTAACGATTCATTCCCGTATATATTAACTACTGTGTCCAATTCTTTGTAATATGTCCAATCATTCCCCCAGTTCTCTACTTGGTACTGTGTGTTTATTTTCACTAGGGAAATACTCAAACCGTATTTTGTGATTTACAATGGTACATGGCATTCGGCAAACCTCGGCCGATTCCGGTTCATTTCATCTAACCTCGGATGTATGACGGTAAGCGATATGCAGCTACGCCAGCACATTGTGATGGGGCTATCGGTTTACTTATTAGGAAGACTTATCGCTTTACAAAGAAGTTCTTAAAATGGCGTTGTTCGAAGAGTGTATAGAGTTTTCATTGCAGAGTTGCCCTTGTTTAAAGAAAATTGGATAAACTTGAAAGAAAAGCAGCTTCAGACGTTAAAGGCTTTGTATGATGGTCAAGACTGTATATCTATTTTGCCAACAGGCTATGGAAAAAGTGTGATTTTTCATTTATTATCGTGGTTTGCTCAGCGTTAACATGCCAGGGAGAAACCGATGACTGTTTCCCCGTTAAATTCTATCATGGAAGACCAAGTGACGAGTCTTAGAAAGAGCGGAATAAGTGTTTGTTGTCTAAACATTACAGGTACAGTAACGAGTTCCACTATACATCTATAATGTTAAAAATCGACTTTTATCTGTGGAATATAGTACCCACACCCACTGTATTCCCATATGAGTCTGAAGTTCTGTAATTAATGAATAATAATAATAACACACAAAAAAAACCTCTTACATGCTTAAAACAATTTAAGCATATAAGGGTGATTTTTTTTTGTATTACTATTATTCATTATTGACAGAACTTCAGGCTCCTATGCATATATATATATATACATGCACCTGTATCATTGTCCGTTTACACTTCACATACATGTGGAATAGATAGATATAAACGTTCTTTTGATGTCAGAAGTAGCAATTCCTTGTATCAATTTGAAGGTACACACGGTTTTACATTTAATGAGGAAAATGGTGATGTGGACAGAGATGACGAAGTCGATCAACTCCGTACAGTTGCCATAGAGTGTGATGTACGATTTGAGGAATTGAAGAATGGAGAGTTTAACTTGATATATTCTCACCCTGAAGCCTTAATGAAAACCAAATTTTCCAGACTTCTGCGATCCAAATTGTATCAAGATCTTGTCTGCGCAATAGTTATTGATGAAGTCCATGTGGTTTCAGAGTGGTAAGTTTTATGAAGTACACATATGTATATTACTAAGTCTTTGTACTTAATTTTTACCACAATGATACATTATATAATGAATGAGAACAATATATACCAGGGTATATATATATATATATTCTAACATCAACACACAAGTTTTCGCTATGTTCGAGGGTTCGATTCCCTCCCTAGGCAGTATTGAATTTGAAGCTGGTGCAAAGTGGGCAGATTGCCTAGTGGCCCCACATAGCCCTAGGAGTACACTATTTTTTAAATACTTATTAAAACCATTTAAGGCTGTTTTTGTATGTTCACTTTAGAGGGCCGGGAAATGAATATTCAAATGTATTTGGAAGATCCAAGGTGGTAGGTTTCTGGTTTCAACAAATTTTATTGTATTTACAAAAGGATTAGACAACAGGTAGTGCCTATATTAGTCTTCTCCTGAAACGGTATACATTTGTACAACATATATATATTTATAAAAAATAATAAGATATATTTACAAAATGATCGATAATTAATTACGTATTGAAATAGATAATTGAAACATTTAAATGGAAAATATGTATATGTTTGAATTAATGATATGGCTGAATGTTTAAACTACACACACTAATAACAAGGTTAACACTTCTACCAGTGGCGTAGATGACTAGTTCATTTTCAACATACATGTACATACTTCTAAACACACACGCACACACATACACACATTCACAGAGCAGATTGATATAACGGGAAGTATTATATAAAAATATATTAATCAAATTCGAGTAAGGTGAATCTATTAGTTAAATCAATAAAATTCTCAACTTAAGATAATATATAATTATTAGTTTCTGGGGATAGCTCATTATCTCCTGATGTAGGTAATTTCAGACTAATAAATCCTATTACATTATATATTTCAAAAAAATCCTGTCTGAAATCAGAATAATTAGGACAAGAAAAAAAAAGGATCAGCATCTTTCACGGTGCTCCACCAGAACAACTGCCATCTTGAATAAGGTGATCAGTAAATTTATCAAAGTTTGTAGGTAATGCAATATTGTTCACTATTAGTATATACTTTCATAATTGCATAATTATATAATTTTACACAATTTCATTTTGCAGGGGAGACGAATTCCGTCCTGCATTTAAGAGATTAGATGAACTGGTATGTGTGTTTGACAAGGCTTTCCATTTAATGCTAACTGCAACAGCAACTCCCAAATCTATTGAAACTCTCACAAAACAAATGAATTTGAAAACTCCAGCAGTGATATCTGAAAATGTGGATCGACCAAACATTTCCCTGGAGATTAGAAATAGATTGCCAAATATTAAAAAGTTTGAAAAATATGATGACTTGATTGAGCCAGTTGCATCAGAACTGAAGGAAAAGAAGCATTCCTTCCCAGTCACCATAATGTATGTCGAAAACTTGGAAGCCATGGGACACTTTTTTTCAATACACCTCTCACGAACTTCAGGAAGATGCGTATGATGGGGAAAAAAATCCAC